TATATGAAAGATCGTTTTACTGTCGAATGGATTCGATAGTTATTTGGCATAAGATAGTGAAGACCGTTTTGATGTTTGAAATTTATTGTGCAATACGTTTTGGTATTGTTTCAACAAAGAGCAGTTTTAAGAAGCGATTAATCCAATATATTAATAAAATCAACAGAAAATGTTCAGCCGATAACGAGAAATCGTTGTTATTGACTACAGATGGCACTTGTATACACCTCATTTAGATGCCGTATATAGGCGGCGCTCGTACCCACACGTCGTCGAGTGGGTGTCGCATATATGCGGCGCTAGGAGCGAAGAGGTTAAATATAATTAATTTCTCACAATTACTCTATCACAGGACTTCTCACTATTATAACTCAATTGCAACTAACGTATCCGAAATCACTCTCCTTTTTTCTTTCTTCTTCATACTTTGTATTGATATACACAATTCACACACACCTCAATCATTACACGCATACTCATTTATCATGATAACGTGAATTCATTACATATGGGAATTCCATGCATACTTGTTCCACTCATCCCAACACATATATACTTAAAAATCTATGTCACCACTACCACAATTTCCATAGTCGGCAGCCTCTCTTCCTGGATTCATTCCTTTCATAACGGACGAGTATGGTCATCTAACTTGGATGTTATCGCGTGTATCGGGAACGTCTCGAGAAATGGCTTATTTCGGGGTGGTATCGCGCGATAGTTTTTATCGTATTGGAGATTACGATGTCTGGAGCCTTGTATAGCCGTTCCAACAGGTTCACGTGTTGGGAGTCCCCCTCCACTGTCGTTTGAAGTCAGCTGGTCGCAGCGGGGCGGCATAGTTAGCAGGGACGTCAGGGAAAGGAATGGATGCGTTTCGTTCTGGGCCTGTTAGCGGACTCATCAGTAAGGCTACCCTAGCAGGCCATTTCCAATTCCAATTTAACTCTTTGCACTCGAGGCCTCTTTCGCTTGCGCAAACCAAACAATTCGAGACGACTTCGGCCAAATTAGGGAAACATATTACATGTACTTTAAAATCATTTATAAACAAACAAACGTATACAAATAATAAAATTTCACCAATTTATTTATATTTATATCAGAAACAAGAAAATTTGAGAAATATTATACTTTGTAATTAGTTTTTGTATGATATTTCGTAAAACAATACCCAAGATGCATCCTAGGTTTATCAGGACACGTATCACAATAATCTGTTACTTCCCGTCTACCTCCAGGCGTATTACGGTCAAAGCAAACCTTACAGTCTCTTTTCGGCCCTTTAAGTATTATGTGCAGCTTTGCATTGAGTCGGATGTCATCGGAATGCGACTTAGACGCTTGCTCACGGTGCTAGCGATATGTTCCTCTCAACTGCTCAACAAGTGTTTTTAAAAATCGCAAATGGCTCAGTGGATTTTCCTCTTTTTGTAGTCTTTTCTTGTTTATAGAGAAGGTAAGAATTGATGAGGCAAATTTCCATGCCCCCCCAAAAAAGCTTACGCGACCATTTCAGCGATTTTCGCAGAAAACAATACGTTGATGCATATTGATCGGCCCGATCAACACCACCCATATATTTTATATAATTCAATACAATTTTTGGTTTCTTGACGAGTACATCCATACCACCTCGTCTAATTCTTTTGACCGTCAACATTCCTGTGTCACTCTTTGTAGTTAAACAAGTGACAATCCTCTTGTCTTTCCATCCTAAAAGTAAGGTGTTGCCAAAAAGTAGATACAATAATATACATATAAAAGAACCAAAACGTACGAAGGGTTAGAAATGAAAACGTAGACTATGAGATCGATGGCTCCAGCGTGAAGTACTCGCGATCTAGAATCAAAGTTTTAACCCTCTATGGGTCGAATTTTTGTTTTAAATTCAAAAAAAATTATGGGAACGAAAAATTAGAAATTATAAACCTATATATGCAAATGAAAAAAAAATTTTCCGTTTAAACAATTTTATTGCAATATATTCACTATGTGACTTTCATGAAAACAAAGGTCTATAAAGTTTGCACTTCTGTGTATAAAAACTTAAGCGTGGAATTCCACAAAACAGTTTGCATTTGACGTTAAACATAAATGTACATTACATTTGGAACATTTAATTTTCAGAACTTCTTTACATCCGGACTTTTTGCAGCGTCCTCTGTTGTCCGAAAAAATTGGCCAATGTGCCACTTCATCTTTTCGCACGTTTTGTACAGGTAGTGTTGTATTTGGTTTTTTTTTTCTTTTATTTTGCAATTGTTTATCTACCTCATTTGAAGCAGGACGCCCTCTTTTCTTCGGGGTTTCTTTGTGCTCCTGACATAAACAAGATGCAGTGTCAGTTTTAAATTCCAATAAACTATACTGACGCCCGGGGTTCACAGAATACGATGAGTAATCTCGCTTATATAAGAGATATTGAAGAAGTATATTGAATTTTTATTCGATATAACGCTATCAACGAATCAACCAAATCTACACCACCCATGTGTTGGTTGTATATTTTCACTATATTTGGTCGTTGTACATCGATCATTCTTTTTATTTTTTTATCCCACCTTTTCACTATATCTAATGGTTCAACTTCGCACTTCGCAAAATGTGCTCATCAAATGAACGGCCTTATTGTCCTACCACTTTACCGTATTTATGGTGACTCTGTCAATAGATGTAGAGAGTATCTCAGAACTTCCTCTGCCCTTAGTCTTCGTGACTTTATCGGACGAAAACTCACAGTTCTTTAGTCGGTTTGACCGCACAGTTGCAACACGCTGAATTCCTAATTTTTCTAATTCAGTTACTAAAGGCACGGTTGAAAACCAATTGTCGAAAGAAATTTTGTAAAAGAATCGTTTGGGTATAATTTTTGCTAAACGTAATACCACATTACCAGTAATTCCGACATTAGGTAATTCGGGATCATGTATCATTTTGCCGGTGTAAATTTCGAAATTATAAATGAGTCATGATGAGTCGCACAGTAAAAAAGCTTTGTAGCCCCATTTTTTAGGTTTTTCGGGCATATACTGTTTTAGCCTTTGTCTTCCCGTGGACGGTATTAATCTGCTCGTCAACGCATACGTGTTCAGACATCGGAATGCGATTAAAATTTTTCACCAATTTATCCAGAATGGGTCTTATTTTTCGTAAACTATCGGTCACTTCTGCATTGTTTGTTGCATTGGCCTGTAAATTTCTACTAAAATGTATTTTTGATTTTATGTTCCTCCATCGCGTACGACTCGCAGTATGGGCAACAGCAGACACTCTTGTCTTTGAATTCCAATACATTTCAGTTCTCGGTAATCTGTAAATGGACATAAAAATACAGCAGCCAAAGAATTGCTCGATTTCATTCACTGAAACAGCAATAGGTTTTGCTGCATCACATTGCAGTGAATACATATTGGTATTAGTCAACTATACTGCTTATAATTTCCTTGTCAAATAGTTTTCGAAAGCAGGTCACAGGAGAATGGGGTGTTTAGAGGACATTAGAGCAATTTCCTTTCCAAGGGCGATAACAACTATTATTATTCGTCTCGGATAGTGGTTGCCAAAC